AATCTAGCCAAACACGAGTTTTGTATCCTTGAGTCAATCTGTTTTAGCCTTTTTCTCTTGCTTATTTATGCGAGGTAAATACTTTGGCTGCGCCCACATCTTCTTTCTGCTTTGACACCTCACAACGGCAAGCATGTAGGTTAGGCATGAATCAGCCAAACAACTGATGGGTTGTCTTATTGGGCTTTCAAGGTTGAGGGAGTACTATTTCATGGACTGAAATTAAGGTTTGTTTGCCTGTCAAGTTAGAAGAACATGACAGAATATGGAATACTTCCGTAAAACTTATTATCAAATCTTTAATCAAGTTTAATTGGTAGGGGATTTCTGCTTTCTTCTAAATTCAATGTAAATTTTATAGATATTATCAATTTTAATTTCTTTAAAAGAAAAAGAAAATAGGCATCCTCTTGTTTCACAGAGCAAATTAGACACGGTAAAGCCCTTGGAGTATTCTCATTTGGCCTATATAAATTAGAATAAATAAATTATTACCTTATGAAACCATAAATAGTATTTATTATTATTATTTATTATATTTTATATCATATATTCTGGCAACACTTCATTTTCATTTTACCCATATTAATTATACTAATGCGCTTTGATATCGTATATTTAATCCTATATTCGCAAAAGTCAAAAGAAAAAATATCAAGCAAAATTTGACTGGAGGCAAACAACCGTATCTGATCAGCTTTGTTCCTGCAAATGCACATCATTTTCGAATAACATCGCCTCGCAGTGAAACCGGAGGTGTAGGAGGAACATCTAGTTCTACCAGTGGATTTGGTGGCGCAAGTGTCAGTTTGCCTGTTGAGCTTTCTACACTGGAACCATTGTGGAACCAAGAAGTGAATAGTTTATACGGAATCGGTGGCACTGGGGAAAGAGGATGTGTCAGCACTGGACTTGGAAGCGATTTAGGAAGCGCTTGCGAAGTCGGAACCTTTATTACTGCAATTCCTGGAATCGATCGAATGGATCTGAATGACTTTGACAGAGTGCCTCATATTCCAGCCGCCAACATAAGATTTCTTCGATACATTGGGTGTGGGGCGTTTGGTAAAGTATGGGAGGGCTGGCTACATGTTTCGAACGATCACACAGAAAGATTTGAGAAAGTAGCCTTAAAGGTAAGTAAAAGGGAACTCCTTGACATTTATTGTTAAAAGCTTGCCCATATAGAGCAACTTGTGGGTCATTGTTATAAGTTATTGTAAATTTTGCTGACTCATTTTAAATTTGTTCAAATAATAAAGTAATACCATGAAAAACTCAATTAAGTAATCAAAAAAGCTAAGCTTAATATATTTTAACTAATAGGAATGTATAACTTTCCTGAACTGCACTAACAAGAAATGGTCAATTAATGGCCTTTATATTTGACATTTTAATTTTAATTTATGTATTTAAATTTAAATTTATGATACCTTAGCGCAGTATCTATTATTATTTATTGTTGTCTGGACTCGTTTGAGTGGATAACTTTTCATTACCTAAGAGATTTTATTAGAGTCAAGAGGAATAATGCTCAAGTGTGTTGTATATAGTAAATTTACAAAAGATACTTTTTCATCTATCCTACAAAGAAACACCAAACTGATCGAATTTTACGAACGGATATAAAAAAGTATTAGACTTATTAGTAATTATCAATAAAAACAATAAACATTTCTATATAAACATATTTGCAGTAGATACGAAGAGAAACTGGGTTTCGATGAATCTCTCGAGATAGCATTGTTAGAGGGACTTTCATTTCGTATGCAAGTGAATAAAGAAGAGATTCTTTGGTTGATCTCACCAGAAGAGGAAGGATAAACGAGGGAGAAAGTGTCGTGGACTGCGTTAGCGTGAATATCGTGTAAAAGCCAAAAGGCTGCAGTATAACGAGATATATTCGTCCTCGTCTGGTGAGATCGACCAAAGGATCTCTGCTTTATGCACTTCTATGTGAAATGAAAGCCCCCCTAACACTATTTGCAGTAATCTCTTCGCTATAAAAGCTGTAGCCTTATAAATTTGCTTGAAAATAAAGTCTCAATAAGGATTATTAGTTATTAAAGTAAATAAAGCAATTTTATTTAGTTAAATTTAAAATGTCCTTTAATAAATAAATAAAGTCATATTATGTTTTCTAAGCATTTTGGCTATATCATACTTTAAGAAACCAGCCTTATGAGGATTCCCAGTATAAAGCTAACTGATCTTATTTTTGGGCGTGCTTACTGAGAACAGATCCAAATCATTAATTAAGAGGCAGTTGGAAGATGATTAAAAACTTTATTTCTTAAGTTCAAGAAAATTTATAGAAAAAAGTCCTTTAGAAATGTTTAAGCTCAAACATCTGATATTTTTAGGTTCGAAATGTCAAATCTTTAACAGAAGCAGAGTTCAAACGGGAGGCCACACTGATGCACAAATATCAGCATGCAAATATCGTCTGCTTCCATGGTGTTTCGTTTGATTCGCCAGGACAACAGTGCTTGGTATTAGAGATGATGGAGCAAGGAAATCTGCGAGACTATTTACATAAGGTTTACATTTTTCGTAAAATAACAATTGCATTACACAAAATTTTACCATTTTTATGGTTTGGCTTTTAATAAAATATTTTTTAAAAAGGTTGTGTCTGACAAATACTTTATAAGAAGATACATTAGAAGACACAAATAAGTATGTTTGTATTTTTTCGCTCCACTTTATTTGAACCCGTAATATTTAGGTTTATCTCATAGTGAAAACTATTAATATTTATAGTAAATAAGATTATCGGAACTTAGGAACTTTTACATCCTAGACTTGTTTTAAAGTTGTTATGGAATCCAAGGCGGTCAAAGAAAACTTTGATAAATCAGCTTCATATTTGCATACATAATTGAAAGCTCATAGTTAAAAAAAATAATGATTTTTTCATTGTAAGTAGGTTTTCGAAAATATCAGTTAATCAGATGTATGGGATTTTTTCACCCTATTTAGTTTAGAGTGATAAAGTACTGGAAGTTGAATTTGTCCACAATGATATGAATAGGCATTACGCTTTTATTAAATTTCACATTGCCTTGCTTTCCCTTTCCTTTCTTACTCAGGGTTGACCGCATTTTCGACCTCACCCAGCACACTCAGCGAACTCGGGCCATGACACTACAGTGTATAATTTCAACACGTTAACCACTACGCCACATTGTCACACTCTTGAGTGACGGAGCAAATGTGAAATTTAAGGAAGCCCAGGCACTTTTTCATATCTCATTATGTGGTGAGAGTTTCGATCAAGCGAATTCAACAACCAGTCCTTAATCAGCTTAAACGAAATAGGGTGAACATATTTCATATATATGATTTGCTCGTAGTCTCGAAAAACTACTTAAAAACGAAAAATTAGTAAAGAATTTGCTTGAACTTGTTTTCTCAACTTAGTCATATAGTCAAGAAGACTTAGATCAATCGTATGCATAATAATTTCCAAAGTCGTATCGTGGACTTGGTACTTTCCAAAACGTTTCGCCAGCATTGACAGTGAGCCTTGCCAGTCTTAGGACCACACTACAATAGGTCAAGAGACAAGTAAAAATCAATTCTTTGACCAAACGTCTGCTAAACAGTTGCTGTATTCCCCTTCACCATATCCTCGTAACACCCCTTCACTATCAGAATTGCTTACTTGTTTAGCTAAACCAAGTCGAGACCTATTCACACTCACCGCCGATTCCCGTACCCCCCTTTCTCCCACTGTACTGGAAATGTTGATACAAGGCTGGAGTTTAATCCACAATCGTCTGCCTCCAGGTACTATCAAAGTCTCCCCCTTTCTGCCTAGGATCCGTAATTTATCTGACTGGCCCAATGATATCACTCAATCATTGTCACTATATCCATGCTACTCAAGGTGGCATGTTATACGCTCGGGCTCAAACCTTTAATAACATGTATACACCAGTCTCACTGAGCAAGCCCTAAAAGTCTGGATCCTCAAGTTGCATGTGAACCTAACATAAAGCAACATATTTCCTTATCATTGTCCGGCATGTGCACCGAGTAAATCTCGTAGTCAAGTCTTTAATCAAGGACAACATCTAGGATCAAGCTCACCCACTAATAGACAACTATCTATATTTGTCACCGCATCTTTCGCATTCTTTTTCATACTGCCAAATCTATGACTTTCTTGTGCCCTAGTCTCTAATATGATAAATCCAAAATGTTACAGAAGTGGGTTTATTATGTTGCCTCAACTTGGTCTTGTTGTCAGGGCGACTAAGTAGAACGCACCATGTCCGAACTCCTCTGCCATAGTAGCTCTCATAATTCTCAGCATCAGACAATGGACTTGGTACATTCTCAGACATTATATTTGGCATAAGCAGTAAATCTTGTCATTATCTACACCAAAATACAATCTCGTCAAAGAAACAAATGAAGTCAATCCTTCGACCAAAATTCTGCCGAAAAGGGCTACACTATCGCTCCTCTTCCTGTTCTGGTGTGTATATGCGTCTTCTTTTGGCAAATTTTGTGTGGCCTCATCACGCCTGCTATTCAATCCGATCCCCTCTCTTTCGATCGGCTAATCCGACTCAGGCCTCCTATCCTGATTTCTTTCATGGTTCCGTAGATCTGTTCCTTATCTTTCTGGTTGACCGAATTCACTCGCTTCCAGTCCCCGTGTGCATCTTACTCCAGGCGCTTTTTCTCAAGGGCTTAGAAACACGTACACTGTCGACTCACCGAGCAGAGCGCCCAGGCGCTGATCGCCATGCTTACAGATCTCAGGTATTGTCTTCAAGCGTCGTCTGCTTGATTAAACCCATGTTACCTAATTAAAGTGTGGACGCCTATCTCTGGTGCATGCCATAACGCCGAAATTCTGTGACGGTTTGACTATCCGTCTGCCTAGCTCCTTAAATGCCAGACCCGCAAAGTTGTATTGGTTTATATGAACAGACCTCACTCGCTGACAAGTTATTTGCCTAATAGCCGAAAATCCCCGTCCCCCCTTTTTCTCATTGCAGTCCCTTTTCCTCCGGTTAGCGATAGATCCTAGATCCAGGCGTCTCCTTTTTACTAATCTTGTTGTATTCTTGTTTTTCCTGAGTTTACTTAAGCAGTAGGCAAAGTTATCTCTAACTATATTTTCCTCCAATCTCCTATTCATTAGATTTGTCTCCCCAAAGATGTCAATGGCCTCCCTAATTTTCCGCTTCCTTGTGTTGTCACCATATGGGGCTCTTTTTTCTGTTGCCTTCCAATTGATCTCGTGTCCAGTCTACGCGATGTGTTTCGCTAGTTCTGATCTTTCGGTATCCATTTTATTGCAGAGCCTTTGATGTTCCTTGATTCGTATGTCAATTTTTCTCCCTGTTTTGCCAATTTATTTCTGTTTACAGGCGCCGCATGATATACAGTAAACTCCTGAATAATCCAATTTGTCTACCCTTTCATGTTGTGTCGGTAGACTTGTGAAAGGTGTTGATTTTTTTTTCATGGTCATAGGAATTTTTCATTTTCTTAATATTGACCGTAGTTTTTTCGTTAGTTTGCAGCAAGATAGGCATATCCACTTGTGTGAATCTTTTCCCGTCCTTACTGTTCTTTCATAGTCCCCATTCTGCCATCAGCTTTTCACGGCCTGTATGTTTCTTTGTATTACTTCGCCTGGGTAGCCGTTGCCGAGTAATATCCTTGTCAATTTGTCCAACCCATCTTCCAAGAATTCCACATCTTGTAAAAGTAGGCTTAAGATGATCATGCTCCCCATTATTCCTATATTTAGCCTGTAATTGTGATGGGACCGGAAATTGAGTATTATCCCAGCATAGGACTTCTTTCTGAACAATT